TCCCTGACCTCTTGCTTATTATATGTATCAGAAATCATTATTTACTGAAAACTTTTGCTCAAAAAAAAATTCTTAAAACTTTAGAGTATCCAAATTTAAAAATATTATAATAAGTTATCAGTAGACCTCGTGGATTCCATTCTTTGTTTCTGGTCACTACCAGGCAGTCAGATGCAGACACCAATTCCTATTGTCCCCTAAATTCTCCTTGTGCTTTATTCATCTCTTTTTCTCTAATATCCTTTGATTCTTTTAATTTGTTTTCCAAGGATAGGAGGGAAGATAAGTACTATCCTTTTTTTTTTTTTTTTTTTTGAGACGGAGTCTCCCTCTGTCATCCAGGCTGGAGTGCAGTGGCACAATCTCGGCTCACTGCAAGCTCTGCCTCTTGGGTTCACACCATTCTCCTGCCTCAGCCTCCCAAGTAGCTGAGACTACAGGTGGCCACCACCTGCCTTGGCCTCCCAAAGTGCTGGGATTACAAACATGAGCCAGGGCGCCCAGCCAGTATTATCCTTTTTTTTTTTTTTTTTTTTTTTTAATATCTGAAAAAGCAAGACGAAGCCATCCAATTTACTCTCACTATGGTTTTAAGACCTTTGAATGGAAAGCACTTTAAATGCATGTGGTAATTCTTATGTCTCCTTCCATATAACACTCATGCTTATGTAATAAAACATGACCTCTCTCAGCCAGTGAGAACTAAGATGTCTAGATGACCGACTGGAGGACCTGGGCACTTGCCTAGCATCCAGTCAAGATCATCCAGTCAGGGTCAGATGATGTCAAACATCATATTTATAGGGATGTTTTACTATCTTTTTTTTTTTTTAACTAAGTTTTACTAATGTAGGTTAAAAAAACTTTTAGGGGTTCCTTGAAAAATATCAGAAAATCACAGATATTTGGAAGGCTCCACTTGAGAGAAGTTAATAAGAAAACATCTCTCTCCATAAATCTGGTTTATCTGTGTGAAACCAGTTTTTAATTCCACGAATATCATGGTATTTGTTTCTATCTTTTTATCTTCATCTGTATTCGTCATTAAAGTATACTTCAAGGGAATGGGATCTCTACAGTAGCCAATATAATTTACTGGCCCTTCTGATTCTGACCCATTTACCATGTGACCAAGAAAAAACAGGGAAAGCAATAGAGCCTTAAAAATTAAAGGGAAATAAAATGAGAGAATTAACTTTTAGGCGCCATCTAAGATGTGTAAAGTCCTTTTCCCACATGTCTCTTTGGCAACCTATATTTGCTAATGGTTCATCGGGAACCATATATGACAGAGACGAAAGATCTGGACAAGTAGATGTATGTGTTAACTTAGGTGACAGAGAGTGCTGGCTGAAGAAAAAAATGCCCAAATTATAATGGAACAGAATGCAGTATGCTTCTCCCTGTGGGGTATGTACCAGAACCAGCTCCGTGTCATCTCCTTCCGTGGGAGGAGTAAAATTCAGTCCTCTGGAGCTGAAAACCTTGGCCCAAGAGATGCTTTGAAAGAAGTATAAATGGTTCCAGGTTTCCTATCGTGTTTGGATATCTCTTTGCTTTTATTTTGTCTCCTCTCAACCTGCTAAATATCTTCAGGATTCTAGAAAATACAAGTAAGTAAACTGAGTTAAGATCAATGAAAACATGTAGAAAATGACACCAGAAAAAAAAAAGTCAAGAAGCTGCAGAAGCTGATCATTCTTCCAACAACTTAACCATCTCACATTTTCCTTGATTTTTGACCCATGGAGTACTGGACTTGGCTTTAGCTGGAGTTGACTTGCAATTGTAGTATTTTTTGTGTCCTTGTATTAAGTGAGTCATTTTCAAAAAGAGTAGTTTGTTTTTCTCTTAGAATATGTTTATATAATGCTCATTTTCTTTGATATGCAGATTTGAATGTTGTATAAAGACTCAATGAATTTATATTGTAGTAGTTAAAACAAGGTTCAGTAATAAAAAATTTTAGTAGTTTAATGTGTGTGTGTGTGTGTGTGTGCGTATGCCTTGTTCTGTAGTTAATTGACTATTATGCATCAGGTAATAGCCTAGGCACAGATTAAGAAGTTGGTACTCCAAAATTTTTAACTCTCTTCCCTGAGTAACAAAGATATTATCCTGGTGATGGAGCAAAAATAAAACTCCATTTCAAAATTCATGTGTCCATTACCATGTTGAACTATTTGCACCTCATCAAAGTAAATGACAGATTCGGGGTGAAGATTACCAACTGATATCATGTACCCAGTGTAAGAAATTTATTCCTGGTATTTATGGATACCCTAAATCAATTAAATCTCAGTTTGATGGATAATACGCCTGAAGTCCCAAAAGCTAAACTTATTCAAGTTGACAATAATTTTGGTCTTAATTGCTACAATTTTGTTAGTACCCTGATGTCATCTATTGTTGGGATAGAGAGATGAATGACTTATGTAGCTACCATCCTAAAACACTGACTTCAGAAATGACTTACGTTTTAAATTTATGTTTATTTTTAGGTATTTTACAAGCAAGAGAACTAAAGTTCAAATTAAATGATGTTTCCAGGGTCCAAGAGTCAGAATAAGATTTAGCAAGTATTTAAATACAATTACATATGTCCTTAGAGCTATACTGTTCCAATTACACCACACTGTCTTTGCTCTGTGGATACATTCATGAGTCAGTCAGAATATGCTGTCAGAAATATCCTAGAATAATGCTACAAAGAACCCAGGCCTATAATCTGGGTAATTACATGTGACAATGTTATAGGAAAAACAAACAAACAAATATTAAAAAACCATTGATATCACAAAAGATTACCAGAAAAAAATTTAAAGGCCTGAAAAGTCTGTTTTCTTTCCTTCTTATCTTCATTCTGTATTTTTTTTTTTCCTCTTAGATTCTTCTCTCCCATCCCTAATGTCCAGATGAAGGCCCAGTCACTGTAACCCTCCCTTCTATAACTACACTTCACTCACATGCATGACTCTGGCCTAAAACTGTGTCAGGAATTCTTCAAAATTAATCTTTTCTGTCTCTGAAACATCAAAAGTTTATTTAAAATATTCTAACAAGGTGAGATACATATTAAATAGTAAAACAATTAGTTTATGTAAATAAAATGGATCCACAGAGTTAAATAACTTCAAATTTTATCTTAATATTTTTAAAGAACCTTATGCTAACTTAAAGCAAGGCTAAATTGGTCAACTGTGTGAATATTTTATATTCTAAACTGTAACTCAAAAAATGGGGTCCAAATATTTCCATCATATAAAATTTGAGACCAGAATATTCAGCACTTAACAAAAAACAAAAGTAAAGGTAGTAGACTATGCTATACAAAGAATAGTATATTGAACTGTAATGGAATCAAGAGATGTAGGAGCAGTCATTTCTTAAGCCCCTGTGCCACCTCAAAAAAACAAGAAATTTAGCCAGCTTTTATTTGAGAAAGGGGACTGATAGAGTATAGAAGCCACCTGTCATTTGCATATTATCATCTATGTTTATACCCATGCATCTATCTATGTATCTATGTATCTATCTATCTATCTAATCTGTCTCCTTTAATCTATCTATCTACCTATCTAATTTTTCTGTGTATATGTCACCTACCCTGGTGTTTTATCTTCTAATCTTCCTTTTCATCCAATATTAAATTTGCTTCTATCCACATTTTTTGGAACTAGTAATTGGTAATAACTAGTAATTTATTAAAGTAATATAGACTCCTGTTTCATAATATGAATACATTAAATTACTTGCTGCTGTGGTGGTACTTAGAAATACAACATGTATTGTCTCATTATCAATCAGTGACTGAAGTGGGAAGAAATGAAATATTTTATTCTTTATCATCTATGAGGCATATACAGTTTTGTTTTTTTGTTTTTTGTTTTTTTTTTTGAGAGGGAGTCTTGCTCTGTGGAGTGCAGGCTGGAGTGCAGTTGTGTAATTTCTGCTCACTGAAACCTCCACCTCCCAGGTTCAAGCAATTCTCCTGCCTCAGCCTCCTGAGTAGCTGGGATTAAAAGTGCACGCCACTACGCCAGGCTAATTTTTGTATTTTTAGTAGAGACAGGGTTTCACTGTTTTGGTCAAGCTGGTCTCGAACTCCTGACCTTGTGATCTACCTGCCTCGGCCTCCCAAAGTGCTGGGATTACAGGCATGAACCACCGTGCCCAGCAGGCATATACATTTAAAAACCCAGCTCAGTTTGGCATTGCAAATAGCTAAAGTTTATAATGTCTTATCTTATATTTTTGAGGAATAGATTAATTGGCAGAACAATTTAATTGGCTGTGTGTCTTCAATGGCTAGCATACGGCTTAACAATAAGTTAACGCCAATAAATGTAGAAGAAGGCATATAAGCTATATTGCTTGAAATCTATTTTGTCAGACTTATTCCCTCCCATTTCTGTAAGCAGTACAACTCCATTTCTTAACTCTCTATTTTCCTTAGGGATATGATAAAAAATTTGATGCTGTGTTTTGTATCTAGTTTTATCTTGATAGGCAGCATTGGATGGTAGTAAAGATCAAAGTTTTCAGATTTACCCTGCCTTACTTTAAATCCAATAGGGCCTAGGGTAAGAGGCTGAAAGTCTGTGGGTTTTTTTACATCTGTAGAAATAATAGTATTTATATAAAGGTAATTTAAAGGGGTTTTCAATAGGTTATTGTGAAGATTTAATAAGTTAATATTTGTAAGGTAGTATAACACATATTAAGCAGTTATTAAATAATATCTATTCATTTTTTAAGGTAAAAAAATTATTTGGTAGGACTTAAATATTAGGTTTATTAACCCATTTTACTCTCCATTCTCAGAGAAGAAAACATTGAAAAGAAAAAAAATCTGATCAGACCTCATTCAGCCTAAGGTGGTGCTTCTATATCCTCAACCTTGTGGTCTTTCATTAATGGCACTAGGCCTGGAATAAACTGTACACATGGCTCCTTTCTTTCATAATCACACTAATCCCCAGGATGTGTGGTATGTCCTAATGGAAATCCCAGGGCTGGAAGGCTTGCATACCTGGATCTCCATCCCTTTTTCTTTTGTGTACACTGTGGCTGTTGCAGGCAATATCCTCTTGATCTTCCTGCTCATGACTGAACACAGTCTCCATGAGCCCATGTATCTCTTCCTATCCATGCTGGCCTCAGCAGACTTCCTGCTCTCCACCGCTGCAGCCCCTAAGATGCTGGCTATCCACTCTACGGATATATCCTTTGGTAGCTCTGTGTCTCAGATGTTCTTCATACATTTCATCTTTGTGGCAGAATCTCCTATTCTCCTGGCAATGGCATTTGACCTCTATGTGGCCATCTGTTACCCACTGAGATACACCACCATTTTAACCTCGTCAACCATCAGGAAGATTGGCATAGCAACTGTGGTCAGGAGCTTTTTCATCTGCTGTCCGTTCGTCTTCCTGGTATACTGACTTACATATTGTGGGAGAAACATCATTCCTCATTCCTACTGTGAGCACATGGGCATTGCCAGTTTGGCATATGGCAGTATCAATGTCAACATCATTTATGGCCTCACTGTGGCCCTACTCTCTACAGGACTGGATATAGTGCTTATCATTATATCCTATGTAATGATCCTTTACGCAGTGTTTCAGATACCTTCCTGGGCTGCCAGGTTCAAGGCCCTTAGTACGTGTGGCTCTCATATCTGTGTCACACTTACGTTCTATGCCCCAGCATTCTTTTCATTTCTTGCCCATCGCTTTGGAGGTAAAACCATCCCTCACCACATTCACATTCTAGTGGCCAATCTCTATGTGTTGGTGCCCCCTATGCTAAACCCCATCATTTATGGGGTGAAGACCAAACAAATTAAAGATCGAGTGATTTTGCTTTTCTCTCCTATCAGTGTATGCTGTTAAAATTTAAAAGTCTGTTTTAGGGAATGGAAATAAATACAATCCATAGAAATCCTCAAACACACTTAAAAGGTTGGTGTCTATCAAAATGCCCACTGCATTTTGCTAAGGCACTCAAAGATCAAAGATATTGAAAAAAAATACTTTAAAATAATGAAATTCTCAATTTTTTTCAGACATACTATTTTCAGGAATTTTAACTTAAAAATACATAAAGATAATTGAGAACAGAGAAGTATATTTTAGGGTTTAATCCAGATTGACTTTTTCTACATAGAGCTAAGAAGTGGGGTTTCAAGTCAGTCACCGCACTTTTTACAGTCAGTCTGAAATTCTGATGAAATGTACAACACTCCCACTGTCCTCTGCAGAGACTTGAACCAATAACATGAAGCCATAATATTATAGTTATTTATGTCAACATCTATTACTTAAGTTAAAATGTTATCCTTAAAATATTTTCCAACTCACTGACATCTCACAAAGTCTATTGTATGGAACAGACACATAATACATATGTATTCAATGAGTGCATAATAGTGAATTAAAGCAAATAATAACCAATATTAAATTAACACATATGGGAATATAAATTGGTACAGCAATTATGAAGGACAGTATGGAGATTTCTCAAAAATTTAAAGTAGGACTAACACATGATCCAGCAATATCACTCCTAGGTAAAAGAGGAAATTAGTATGTCAAAGATATATCAGTACTCCCATGTTTATTATAGCACTATTCACAAATGCCATGATTTGAAATCAACCTACGTATTTGTCAACAGATAAATGGATAAAGAAAAAAATATATATATACACACACACACAATGGAATATTATTCAACCATAAAAAGAATGAAATATTATCAATTACAGTAACACAAACGGTACTGAAAGCAATTATGTTAAGTGAAATAAGCCAAGCACAGAAAGAAAAATATCACATTTCCTAACTCATGTGTGGAAGCTGAAAACGTGGAGCTTATGAAGACAAAGAGTAGACTGGTAGTTACCAGAGCCTGGAAGGAAGAGAAGAAGGAGAAATGAAGCGGAAAAAAAAAACTCCCACTCTCTCTCTCTCTCTTTCTCTGTGTGTGTGTGTGCATATGTGTGTATATGTGTGTGTGTGTGTGTGTATATATATAAATGTGTCTATGTATGTGTATATATATAAATTTGTATATCTATGTATGTATGTATTACCACTGAACTGTACACTTACCAATGGTAAAGATGGGCTGGGCATGGTGGCCCATGCCTGTAATCTCAGCACTTTGGGAGGCCAAGGCAGGTGGATTACGAAGTCAGTAGTTTGAGACCAGCCTGACCAACATGGTGAAACCCTGTTTCTACTAAAAATACAAAAACTTAGCCAGGCGTGGTGGAAGGCGCCTGTAATCCCAGCTACTTGGGAGGCTTGGGCAGGAGAATCGCTTGAACCTGGAGGGCGGAGGTTGCAGTGAGCCAAGATCGTACCACTGTACTCCAGCCTGGATGACAGAGTGAGACTCTGCCTCAAGGAAAAAAAAAAAAGTAAAGATGGTCAATTACATATGTATATTTTACCTTAATAAAAATAAATTTAAAAAATATTCAGTAGACTAGCTAAAAAAATCTAGAGATAGGTATTGATTCATATGTAAAAGTCTTCCAATATTTACAAGTAAAATGAAAAAAAAAAACCCTTGAATTAAGTGTAGAACTCACTGACAGTGTTTCAAAGGATTGACATATGAACTAAAATTTGGACAGTACATGCTGTTCCTACGTACTTGGAACACAGGGAGAAAATCTGGGATGGAAATATTGCTATAGGAGTTAGCACATGAAGGTGATAACTAAATTATTTGGAGTAGATGGAGTCACTAGCACATATGAATAGTTTTAGAATGAAATGACCCAGGATAGAATTTTGGAGAGCCCCCAAGTTTAAATAAAATCAGTATAAGAGAAGAGGAAGAAATCAAATGGTATACTAGTCTAAATTGTTTCTTAGTGACAAAAGAATAACCTGAATATTAGATTAGCTCCTATATGCTCTCTAAATCAATTTCATCCAACATGCAGCAGTACCGTTGTTTTATGCTCCTTCACAGAGGAAATTCTGGAAAAAGCACATAGGGTTCCTTGCCTTTTCATCTGTATTCCTTATTCTCCTGGAAATTCACTATAAATATTCTCCACCATTAGTATGCTTCCTAAATTTGCCAATGTCTAAACATTATATCAAGTGTCTCTTAGCTACATTCAAGAAAGCCTAGAAACCAGGTGTAAAATGTCAAGGAGAATAGCGTCATATGCATAAGTCTTGCTTGGAATTTATCAGATACTTATGTGATAAATGAAATTTTAATGCATAATCCCATTTTACTAATAATGTAAAGGTAAGATTATTTATAATTTTTTTCATTTCATTCAGACTATATAACATTATCTCCCTCATATATAGTAGGAATATAATGACTGTTTTTTGAAAGAAAAAGAAGGAAGAAAGAGAGAAAAGAGAAAATGGATACAAGTTAACTCAAATGTTCAACAAGCTGCTTCCAGCTTTAAATTTGTAGGACTTAGAAATGTCCATTATAATTTGTCACTATAAGAATGTTACATAATTTACTAAAAGATAAAAAAAACTTCAATAAAATAAAATGGGAAGAATGAGACTGAAGAAGACTGAGGAGGAAATTGTGTGATAAAAAGTAGTTATGAATACAGATTTTTCTTTTCTGAAAAAAAGAGAAAAACCTTGCCTCAGTGAAAGTGTCACCAAGATATTTATTTAAATAGAATGGAATTGGCATAGAAAAATGTTTGCATTTAAATGGGCTTTAGAATTTTACAAATAGAAATGGCAGAAAAGGAACATAGCTTGTAAAAAAAAATGCATATCAATTATTCTGCATTTAGCCTGAGGGAAAAGAGAAGAGAGAAAGGAGATTTCTGCAAGTGTAGAAATAATTACGGGGATATTAGGTGCCAATGAACCCAAGAGGGCTGACTTAAAATTTGCTGGGTCCCTTGTGGTTTTGGCTATCAACTAGGAAATCCCTCATTTCATGCTCATAACTCCTCCTACTTCTCCACACATTCATAAAGGAACATTAAATTGGTGGCTAGCAACTTTTTTATCCAATTTGAGCTCAATAAATTTATCCCGTGTTTCGAATGCCACTTTGAGTTTTACTGGAGGATGAGCACACAAAAATGGTCTCAGACAGACTTCCAGAAGAAGAAGAAGAGTGTCCGTATTAGAGATAAATGAAAAGTGTAAAAAGTCATATGCAAAATGTCCACAGTATATTATATTGGCACATATCCCAGCACCGAACGGAGTAAAATTTATGACATTAGCTGGATGCTGTTACACAGAGTGCAGACAGAAAGTACAGCCATCACAGAACCCGCAGCTTAAGGGAATGCGACTGGAATCACTGGAGAAGAAAAATTGGTGAGTGATGAATGAAAATGTTATGAAAAATGGACAATATTCTTCAGGCATTCGGTAAGAGTAAAACCAGGTCTCAATAATAATTGAGGTTAAGTCTCATGAATTCTAAGTTTCCCCCCATAATTTAATTGCCAGCTTCTCCAATAACAATCACCCTATCCAACTAACCAGGAACTTACATATACCACCACCTGCAACCCTGCTATCTGTGCATGTCAGGTAGTCCTCACATGTCAGCTCTTTAATCTTGAGTAAGTCAGACATTGTGATTGCCCTTAAAGGATTCTTATTCCAATTGTGATTATCTTTGGAGAAGAAAAAATTTGCCCTATTAGAAAAAGCCAGTGACTTAGGGATGGGAGTGTCACAAAACTAAGCACTGGGGATCAAATCTATGGAAATCACAGTATTTAATTGACCTACAAATTTACAGTAAATATATGTTAGCTGATACAACCTCCCTGTTGTGAAATGTCCTCTGCTGATTTGGTTCTTTGATTTGAAGTTCAGCAACAGTTGAACATTTGTTGTTGAACATTTGAGTGAACTTGGATCCATTTCCTCTTTTCTCTTTCTTCCTTGTTACTTTCCTTCCTTCTTTTTCTTTCAAAAAACAGCTGCTTTTTCTTTCAAAGAAGAGTTGCTTCCTGAATTTCCAGTATATTGGTGACATTAAGTATGTGGTTAGCTCATTCATGAGCTTGCTGAGATAAAGCAACTTTATTGAAATGTCTAGGAAAGAATGAAGTAACTTAACCCTACTTTTCACTGAATCACAAACATTTCTCTAATGTGTAGCTTAAAATGTACTGATCCAAAATAAGTAATTTTTAGAAAATAACTATTTTGATCAGAGAACTTTCATATAACGCATAAGAACCCAGGTTTTTCAGAAAATTCAGTCATCAGTGAAATTGAAAAGTGACTAAATTTTCTTCAGTTATTCATAGTGCTTTTCTCAATTTTAGTATCCCCAAGTTTGTCCTGTCTTCCCTGTCTAGTTCTACATTTGACTTCTTCTAAGAAATCTGTCCTTTAGCTTTTTTATTTTTACTAATTTCTTATGTCAGAGCTCACAAAATTATATAAGCCTCTCACCTATATTTCATTAAGAACTAATGAGCCTTCATTGGGTCATATTATGCTAATTATAACTCTTAACAGTTTAAAACCAGGAAACTGGACTCTATCCTGGCTAAATGATTCATTTGTCCTTATTCATTATCTGTGGTTTATCAGGAGCAAGTCCTCTTGCTGTATGCATTGTTGCTACTCATCTTGTCCCTTAGCAGTTCCTTCTCTCTAGGTATTCTATAAAGTGTACTACAGAATTTTTAAACTCACAACATTTCAAGAATTTCAGCTGTTAAAAATATATAGGAAAAAATATAATTCCCTTTAACTTTAAAGAAATTTAAAAAGCAATCAGGAGATTTGGCCTAGATTTGTCAAAAGTATAAGGATTTCTATACCTTCTAAAGCACTCTCTTTACATTCTTCTGAATATAAAAAGAAATATATTATGTTCTTGGGTGTCAATTATTTCTACCTCTATTCTCTTTCATTGGGAATCTTTTACACCAATGTACTGGTCAGAGTCTGATAATCTGCTGGTCTAAAATGTTCTTAACTTAAAGAAAATTGGAAACAGTTAAATACTAGAGGAATAGCTGAAATGTGAAATATGGAGAAGTTTATTACACTCATTAAAATGCAATATCCAATAAAAATAAACTTCTATGTATTTTTTTGTCCACAGGTCTGGAAAGAAATAACAGACAGGCCAGTGGTCCAATCCCCTGTCCAGGTGATTTTGCTGGTTCTAATGTATTTGGATTGCCATGTGCATAACGTCCTATTATGGCACAGTGCCTGTGAATGCCCTACCTGAAAACAGTGATGTTATCTCCATGAATCCATCTTTTCCTTTCAAAACTGTGAATAAGATGGATGATTTTAGAGTTCTACCCAAATCAGACAGACTCAATACAATGACTTTGGATAAAATCAGAAAGCAGAAGAGGAACAGTAACACTGACTGAGAAACTTCTTTTGTTTGCATCAGGAGGCCCAAGGACACTATGTCCATTTCCAACATCACAGTCTACATGCCCTCTGTGTTGACACTAATAGGGATCCCAGGCCTAGAATCTGTGCAGTGCTGGATTGGGATTCCATTCTGTGCCATTTATCTCATTGCTATGATTGGAAATTCCCTGCTTCTGATCATCATCAAATCTGAAGGCAGTCTCCATGAGCCCTTGTACATTTTCTTAGGCATGCTAGGAGCTACAGATATTGCACTTGCTAGCAGCATTATGCCCAAGATGCTTGGAATATTCTGGTTTAATATGCCTGAAATCTATTTTGATTCCTGCTTGCTTCAAATGTGGTTCATCCACACATTTCAGTGCATAGAGTCAGGCATCCTGATGGCCATGGCCCTGGATCGTTATGTGGCCATCTGTTATCCACTAAGACATGCCATCATCTTCACCCACCAGCTTGTCATTCAGATAGGAACTGTGGTCGTACTCAGGGCTGCTATTCTTGTAGCCCCATGCCTAGTACTGATAAAGTGCCGGTTTCAATTGTACCACACAACAGTCATCCTCCACTCCTACTGTGAGCATATGGCCATTGTGAAACTAGCTGCAGCAAATGTTCAAGTCAACAAAATCTATGGTTTGTTTGTGGCCTTCACTGTTGCAGGATTTGACCTCACATTCATCACATTGTCCTACATCCAGATATTTATCACAGTGTTTCGTTTGCCCCAGAAGGAGGCTAGGTTTAAAGCATTCAATACCTGCGTTGCTCACATCTGTGTCTTCCTCCAGTTCTACCTCCTTGCCTTCTTCTCCTTCTTCACACATAGGTTTGGGTCTCACATCCCCCCTTATATCCATATTCTCTTTTCTAGCATTTACTTGCTGGTCCCTCCATTTCTCAATCCACTTGTCTATGGTGCAAAGACCACGCAGATTCGCATTCATGTGGTAAAAATGTTCTGTTCATAAAATCCACCTTAATTAATGCCCACATGCTTCCTTCTTTTGCAATAGTAACCATATCAAAACAAAACAACAATACGTATTATTTGAGATGCTTGGTTTGTGAAATCTGCCAGCATAATAGCTGGTTTTAGATCATCATAGCATATCAATCAATGGGGTTGTAAATTCTACCTGACTAATGAAATTGGGAAGTGTGAAGAGTAAAGTAGTGAATACATACTGTTTGTTTTTTCTCCTTTATTCTTTAGCCCCTGGTTGAGTTATTCCTCTAAGAATATTTCTCAAGGAGGATTTATAAATTATGCCTTTGTCACTGAATTTAAATGCACCTAAGTCTCGTTCTGAAACGTCCAGGTACTCAATGAAAACAAGTTGTTGACTTTCATTTTCTCCATTATCCTTGCCTTAAAAAAAGAAAAAAATCAAAGGAAGTACATGTTAATGGTGTTCTTATCAAAGAAAACCTTATGAATATCAAGAGACAATAAAGTCTAAAAATTTAAATACATTTTCAGAGTCATGCAGGGAATTACAGGCACAAAAATTAGAACCAGTTGTTGCATTTGACACATCAACTTTTGTTGTTGTTGTTGTTGTTGTTGTTTTGCTAACCCCAAAATTTACTTCTTTATTAATTCATTGTTTTATCGAAAACCTACAATATTATAAATACTATACTACAGAATTGTGACATAATAGTAAATTTGGTACAGTGAGTAATTCTCATGAGTTTGTACCTATGTAATTCTGGAAAAGAGAGACTGAAAGGAAAAGAGGTGGGGGATGGGCCGGCAGGGGAAAGAAGGAAGAAATAACAAGTGTACACATGGGATGTGGAATTCAGAGAGAATGAAGCATTGAAATCTAACTAAAGCAGAAGAGTTGCATTTACTGTATTTTGTTTTTTGGTTAGGCAGTTGCCTCTGATTCCTGAGGAATGATGAATGAGTGGCCAAGGTAGATAGAAGAGCAGATTTAAACTAGATAATGTAGTTTAAGGTAACTCTAGTTTTTTCAATATGGTATGAGTGCAAGGTAGAACTTGGGGAGACAAGGAAAATACGAATATCAAAAATGGCTATTAATGCTGTGAGAGTTGCTAGACTTTATTCCAAAAGCTATAATGTGCCATTGGAGAGTGTTCATTTGTTTGCTTGTGTTCTACAAGTAAGACACGTGTGTGTGTGTGTGTGTGTCTGCTTGGGCATGTGACAGCATACCACACAGCAAATATAAATAAGTCTAGGGCTATTGTGTTAGCGAAGAGGAGGAATATATTGTCTAAAATTAGTGGCATAAGAACTTACGGCTAGTTAATTGTTCTTGAAAAACCTCAGGTCATAGATCATTTTTCTCAAGGTTATGGAAAATATTCACATATATGCAGATGTCCATACTTTGATTTACCAGATTAAAGCCACTGCAAATATAAGAAATATTAGATTGCTTGTCATACACCTACCTGGTGGATCCTCTGGCTTCAGGGATTAGGACTTAGCAGATATCCATGGCTGCTGAGAATGATTATAGAGGCTATCTTAAGGGATCTTTTGATACTGTTTCAAGTTTCAATATTTACTAGAACTAATTTTATTGGATTACCAATAGGGATGGTTTTTCTTAAGTAACATAATTTTCTCAAAAATAAAATAGCCTCTGATGTTATTTCTTAATATTTTAGCCAGAATTCGGCAAACTTTTAAATAAATGGCCAAATAATATATAGCTTAGGCTTTATGGAAAAAGAGGCAAATTCAAGAATATCACGTAGGCATTAATATAACAAGACAGAAAAATGTATGTCCACAAATAATTTTTATGAAATTCAAACAATATTAACAACAATAAGAATTGCATTGTCTTTAATTAAAGGTCTACTAATTAAAATAATAGAATCCATTTTTTTTTTCTACAAAATGTAGCTGAAAGTTAGAGTTTCCCTATCACCAAATTGATTACAAATGTTTATCTGTGAAAATCATTCTTAACTAGTGGGCTATAGAAAAACAGGAAGCAGGCCAGGTTTGGGATGTTAAACAATTACCACTTTTAGCAGCACCACAGAAAATATGTGGTAATATAGGACCAACAAAGAGAATAATGTGAAACTACAACATATTTGCACCATTTCCGAATTTTAATATCTCATAAAATATGTAGTCCAGAGTTCATATTGTTTAATTACTATAGTCTTCAAATTTCAGGCTCAGTCTCAAGTTGAGACTTACTGATAGAAAATAGAAAAAACAAATGGGTCATTACAAGGAAAAGAGGATAACCAGGACCCTCTACCCTCTTACACACTTCGACAGGGACAATTATTGAAAACATTCTTAAACATAAAATCGCTTGAAAGATAATAATATTTTTTGTAAGGATAATTTTAAAGAAAGATTTCTAGAAATCACAAAATTAACTTCCAGGAGATTACATCAATTTGAACAATGACTAAAATAATGTTTGTCTAAATTTTCAACAACACTAGTTATTACTGACATTTATCTTTGACAGCTTGATAGGTAAAATATGATTCCCTTTATAATTATCATTTAACAAAGAAATATTTGTGCTGCTATCTTCTTTTCCGTTTGTATATTATGTGAAGTACTTCATTGTTTCCTTTGTTCATTTTTCTAATTTGTGTCCATTTATTTTCTTCTTGAGTTTAAAATTTGATGAGTAAATATTGAATTATTTCCAAGGGCTTTATTGCTCAGGACTTTACCCGAGGATTTCCAATAGGCTCTTGGCATTTTCTCGTAGAAGTGACTTCAGGCATAAAGAAGAAAAGAAAAGGAAAAGTAAAAAGTCTTAATATTGGAGATATTTGACCTATTAGGAGCAGAACACTTGTTGGGAAAAAAAAAATGCTTTCAGGCAGGGCGTGGTGGCTCACGCCTGTAATTCCAGCACTTTGGGAGGCTGAGGTGGGTGGATCATGAGGTCAGGAGTTCAAGACCAGCCTGGTCAAGAAGGTGAAACCCCGTCTCTACCAAAAACACAAGAAATTAGACCGGGGCAATGGCAGGCGCCTATAATCCCAGCTATTCAGGAGGCTGAGGCAGGAGAATCACTTGAACTCAGAGGGTGGAGCTTTCAGTGAGCCGAGATCGTGCCACTGAACTCCAGCCTGGGCAATATAGTAAGACTCTGTCCCCCTAAAAAAGAATTGCTTTCAGGAACTGACCCTTCTAGCTTTTTGCACCCCTTCATTTAAATGTTCAATTTGGGAAAAATAACTTGCAACATTTGGCTCATTTCCACCCTTCTTGGTAGAGAACTGTCCTTTGGCAACAAGCCTTTTATGTTGATATTCCTAAGTAGTCTCCATTGCAATGTGAGAATACAACAGTATTATCCTTAATTTATTGTTAAATTTATGACCTTTTGAGATTTGGTTAGCAGGCCTATTTGACTTTAATACTAAGCTGTATGCCTGTATTTAAACAGTATTAAAAATGCAGGTGATTCCCAGCTACTCGAGAGGCCTAAGGCAGGAGAATTGCTTGAACCCGGGAGGTGGCAGTTGCAGTGAACCAAGATGGCTCCACTGCACTCTAGCCTGGGTGACAAAGTGAGACTCCATCTCCAAAAAAAAAAAAAAAAAAAAAAAAAAGTGATATCCTACCACATCTATTTATAATTTCTAAAATTGCTCAGAATTTGTATTAATAAGGGTTCTTCAGGGTAAAAAACCAATAGGTTATGCATACATGTATGTATATACACATATATGCAGGTAGGTATACATATACATATGCATATATATCTGTATCTATGTATCTATATGAGATAGATTAATTTTAAGAACCTGACTTACACTTATGAAGGCTGGCAAATCCAAAATCTGCAGGGAGAGCCAATAGGCCGGAGACTCAGGGAAGAGCCAGTGTTGTAATTTAAGTCCAAAGGCAGTCTCCTGGTAGAATTCTTTCCTGATTGGTGCAAGTCAGTCTTTTGTTCTATACAGGCCTTCAACTGCTTGGAAGGCACATTATAAAGGACAATATACTTTACTCAAAATTTATTAATTTAAATGCCAGTCTCATCCAGAAATACCCACACAGAAACATCCAGAATAATATCTGACCAGAATCTGGGCACTGTGCCCCAATTAAATTGACACCTTCAACTATTCAGAATTAAAAAAACCAAGGCAGAGAGCAGGTAACTACAGCACCTCCCAACGTCAGAGACTCAACATCATGGTTTACAAGTTACTAAAGAAAGAACACTGGGACAAAATAAAGCTTGTAGGAATTCATCCACCTTCAACCACTGATGTGCTAATCTCAGTATTGTAAAGATATCAATTCTCTTTAAACTTAATCTAGAAATGTAGAGTAATCTCAAGCAGAAGGCTATCAAACTTTTCTGGCATAAGTGCAAATGCTTAAAAAAAAGATATTCAATTCAAGAAGTAAAAGCTAAGAGTGAAATGTATGATAGAGTTCTGATAAATAACTCTGCCCTATATTCTAAGATTCAGTGTCTTTTAGATGATGACTCTCTAAAGAGTCGAGGACGGGAATAGAGGACAGTAACTGTTGTCCCCTCCATGCAAGGTCTGAGACTAACATACACAATGACAATTGCACAACCTTTATTTGTAGTGAACACAACTTTTTAACATGAAAAATCCTAAAAGGTATACAAATACAACAGATATCATGAATTAGTAGGTGAATTTAGCAAAGTTTAATGTTTGAAGTCTACATAAAAATAGTTTATAAATCTACATACTGGAATCCAATAATTAGAAAATAACAATAATTTGCCATAAAGTGTAAAAGCATAAGATACACAATTTATATTTAGGCACACAATAAACTACAAAAATTTTACACTGATAATTACAAAACATTGTTGAAAGAAAGGCAAAATATAAAGAAATAGAGAGCTGTGCCATATTCACGGATTAGACATCTCATTATTGTTAAAATGTTAATTTCCTTAAAGTCATGTAAAGATTCAAAGCAATCCCAAATATAATCATAACAACCTTTTTTTTTTGCCATGAATTGAGAAGCTAATTTTATATTTTACATGAGAAATCAAAGGACCTACAGCCAAAGCAATCTCAAAATAAAGAATAAATGTTAAGTACTGAGAATACCTAACATCAAGACTTACTACAAAATTCTAATAATAAAGACAGTGTGATATCAGCATGAGGACAGCTAATGAAACACAACAGAGAGCCCATAAGTAAGCCCACATTTGTACAACCCATTGATTTTATACAGAAGTATCAAAGCAATTCAATGGAAAATAGACAGCCTTTTAAACAAAATTAGGTATTCATATATATCTATACATTTTATAAATATATATGTTTAATCTAAAAATTTATTTAATACCACACAAAATATTAATCCAAATGGGATAATATAGAAGTAAAAAATAAGGCTTCTAGGAAGAAGAAATCAGAATACTTTAATATATTGAAGATTGGCAAAGATTTCCTTCTTACAACACAGAAAGCAACAAGATATCATCTTATCAACAATTTGGACTTCAGCAAAAGTAGACTGCTAAGAAAATTAGCAAGCAATACACAGACTATAATATCATGCAAAAAAACTTAAATCTGAATTATATAAATAGTTTTAAAATTTTATATAAATAACCCTTATAACTCCATGTAAAAAACAAAAATGTGCAAAACACTTTACCAGACACTTCATAAAGCAATAAAGTAATAAGCTCTGCAAAAGTATGGATCATAATTTAGAAAAAAACTTTTTACTTAGTAAAACTGATTAGTTCATATTTTAGTATTCTATTGATATAATGTTCTAGGACAGGTAAAATTAATTGAAAGTAATTTTTTTTTTAAACAACAATGCTTTCCCCTGAAAAGGTGGGAACAGTCATGTTGGGAAAACTTTCTTGAGTGCAGGAAATATTCTATATCTTGATAGGATAATGAGTAACATATTTGCAAAAAATAAGCTTAAGATCAATACATTTTACTGTCTTTTCTTAGTAACAAAAGAGTATAAACAAACACTGTTGAGGATAATGGAAGATAATTTTTGTACTTGTGAAGAAAATAATTACTTATATGGAAAGTATTGAGACTAGAAAGAATCTTGAAGGTTTGGATTCCAATTGCAATTGCAAGTACGGATTCATTGTTTTTAATAAAGAGAGACACAGACATACGCAAACGTAATTATATAATCGCGTGTGTGTGCATGTATTTCCTCTGTTCACTTATAGGAACCAAAAGCAAGGAACAAGCAATGGCAATGAAAAAACAATCCTTGTTTCAAGATATTGATTTTCTTAATAACTTTGTTCACAGAAAAAGATCAGGGCTTTTTGGAAAAATATCTGTTTCTGTGGCTTGAGCTGAAAAAGCATAAAGTAATTTGAAATCACGATGCAGAGATAGAAAATAAGGAAGTACTCAAAGCATGATTGGAACATGTGGAAAGGACCCAAGGTCTAGTTGGAAGGAGCTCCTTATGGCGTAATTTAGAAAATTTTGAGCATCAAAATAAATAATTATGGCAAAGGATTGTAGCCCATTGAATAAAATCAGATTCTGTGAATCTATACAAATGTAAGTAAAGCAATACAAGTTTGGGAAAGGGGAATGCTCTTCCTTATAGTGTAATGCCAATAAATAAAGAGGAAAGGTATGATGCATTTAAAAATTCATAAACAGAATAATAAAACTCATGAGTGAAAGTGCTCTGAGGAGCGGACCATTTAAATAGTCTCAATAAATATATACTTTCACAGATTTCTATGAATTACAAAGAGAAAAATAGCAACTTACCATGAATCCAGAGTGACATCCCATTAACCAAGTGACTGAAACTAACCACATTAATATTAGAACATAACAGCATCATATGATTAATGATATTGTGCATGAAGAAAGGCTACATTATTCTGTTGCATTAAAAACAAACAAGCAAAACTGTATAACCTGAATCCTAGTCATGAGGAAACGCCAAAGAAACTAAAATGATGGAAATTCTCAATAACAAATGGATGTTCTTCAAAAATTCCACTATCAAGAAAGCAAAAGAAGAACTGAGGAGCTTTTGAAAATTCAGGAAGTCTAAAGAGACATGAAAAGTAACTGCATTATTTGTTCCTGGACTGGATTCTGAAAAAGGAAAATACAGCTATAGAAGTCCTTGTTGGGACTACTGTCTAACTTTAAACATGGACTTTATATTAGGTTATAATTTTATTTAAAGGCTAACTGTCCTCATCTTGGTTATAATACCATAGTTATACAATATAATGTCTTTTCCTTAAGAAATACAAGCTTTAAAATTTAGATGTAAAGGGGCATCATGCCTTCTATTTATTTGTAAACCAATCAGAAAAAAAAATTCTCCATCTTCCTACCTACTGAACTAGTGATAAAGCACAATGGGGCAAAATATGAAGAGTTCGTGATTATGGGTACATGTGAATCTTTGTACACATGTTATAAGGGAATTTCTCATACTCTTACTGCAAAGTTCTATATATTTAAAATTATATAAATAGTTAAAAAGTTTTAAAGTGGCACTATTTCTTAAACCATCCTCAATTCAGGAAAAAACACCACTATCTATTCACTTGACTCATCCAAAAATCTAGTCATTTTCTTTGAAAGTGACCTCAATTTCATACAATACACCTACTTAATCACCAATTCTTTGTGATTTGTTAAATAATTCTTAAAAGTATTTCCTTCTCTCCCACTGATGAAGTAATAAATCTATCATTACTTCTTTCCTATTTCACTCTTTCATGATAATGTATGTAAAATAATGAAACGTTGCATCTTTCGTTTATTGGTAATTTTTATATGACATGTTTCAGAAAGTTACTCGAGTTAGCATTATAACATTAAAATCTATTTCTTCATCTTCATGTATTATGTTAGTTTTTCAGAGAGCCTTACGTTTTTGTTTTCATTTTCCACAGAAATTGAGCTGCTTGATGTATCTGTCTGCTGTTCTTTATACCGTGTGTGCCAACACTTGTACCTTTTTGCACTGCTAGCCAGCTTTTAGACTCTAGTTAAGACAATTTAGTTAGAAGTGTTGTTTAATTAAAGTAAATTTTGGCCATTTCCCTGGTTTTGTCTACCCCTCTCATCCAAGTTTTCATAGCAGCTACCACATTGCTCTCCAATTTTTTTTCTTTATGTAACTGCTTCCTTCACCAAGATCATACGTCTAATTTATCTGTGTGCTCACGATCCACTCAATTCATGGCACATTTTTTAACTTGTAGTCAGTTTTACTGCAGGTATAAAATCCCCTATAAACATATACCATCCCACTCTTCTTTAGCCATAAAGTAGAAAACAGCTTGAAACAGGTTAAATATCAGGTAAGAAACTAAAGTAGCAGTTTAGTATGATTGGCAGGATCTGGTCCTGGTGGTGGCTAGAAATGTCTATGTATTTATGTATGTGTACGTGTATGTGTATATGTGTGTATGTGGGCATCTGACAGAATAGAGGCTGAGTTGAACCCTAATCCCATTTCCCACATATAATCACTGTTAACAGTATGATGAGGTTCTTTCAGATGATTTTAATATGTAAATGATGATTTTAATATGTAACTTATAGTTACAATGTATTGTTACCAAGGGGTCCTTGCTCCCAGAGCTCCCAAGATGGTGGCGGGCTGCTTCCAAGATGGTGGCAAGTCTAGTGTTCTCTGACCTGGGGTTCTTGACCTCACAGATTCCAAGGAATGGAATCTTGGGCCATGTGGTAAGTATTACAGCTCTATTAGAAGCCGTGGGTCACGGAAGAGAACCGTGGAACCCAGTGATTCAGCTCAATTAGGTGTTCAGCTCAGTTAGGACGAACCCAGGCACTTAGCTGTGCAGGAACAATGGCAAGCCTTTAGCCCTATCCAGAGTGGCAATGGGCGTCTGGCTGGATCAGGAGCACAACCGACACCTTGCTGCATCCGGAGGGATGGAAGTCAGCAGCCGGTCTGTGATGGTGGCAAACAGCAATGGTGGACTGCCAGCAAAAGCTAGCTCAAGCCGTAACAAAACACGGACCAGAAGAGTGCAGTTGCAAGATTTAATAGAGTGAAATAGAGTGAAAACAGAGCTCCCATATAAGGGGAGGGGACCCAAAGGAGG